AGAAATTGTGCAGACGCCACTCTCAGTGCTGCCGCAGATCAGAGATTCCCAGAGCAGTTTGGCTAATCGGCCCAGTGCTTGCTAGCAGATCAGTAGGGAGCCTTATGTCTGACATTTCAACTGCCGGCTTTGCTTTCGCAACTGAGTAGATAGCCAGTTCCCATGGCTGCCTCCCAAGAAGTGGTCAGGGTGTGGTGCAGTGCACAGTTCTCTAGGCCTGGGAACAGCGGTGTTTCACTGTTTCACGTAGTTTATGGGGCTTGCATGCTTACCTGGCACTTGGTGCCTTCGGGAAGCCAAGAGAAGACGCAGAACCTGCAGCGGCTTGCCTGCTAAGCCATGCTTGCACCACTCTTCGAGTGTGCGCCAAAGTAGCTGCTGATTAACAGAGCCGTGCCGCGCCGAAATGCAACAGCAGTTCCCGCCTGTCTTTTTGGAACTGCGGTCTTCGTGCACGCTCTCATTCCCTCCCCCTTCGGGGGGAGGGTGGGTATCTTCGCTGCTGCGCCTCCAACTCTACTCCAAGCTACTGCTTGCCCACTGCAGGTCTTTTGCCATCTCTCATGGTTTTTCAATTCTGCATGCATGTCTGCATCCACACACTTGCTCTCCCAAAGCACTTTGTTGCCATAGGAGCGCACGCTTGTGACAGTTGTCGACTGCTTTAGAGTGTTGACCTCTGTAACACCATGATTGAAGAAATTCCGGAATTCACTTTTGGCCACTGCACCAGCCTTCGGGAAGTCTTCCTACCGACAACTCTCCATACAATCCGAGTTAAAGCCTTCATGAGCTGTGCCGCCCTTGTTGAGCTTGCCATTCCGCCTGCTCTCAAGCACATTGGAAGTGGGGCTTTCTTGGACTGCACTGCCCTATGGAGGCTGGTCAAAATGCCCGGAACACGCAGATGGCGAGGGGTTTATGCTGAAGAAAATGCTTTTGCCATCTGTCCGGCCATGAAATGGCCACCCTGGCTGCATATGATCCCAGACATGGGCTACACCTCTGGTTTTGGATAGAGGATCATCCTTCCATCCACAGCTGTCGTGGTCCTGCTGTCAATTTTGTTAGAGTCTGGGTGCGAGCCTTAGCTCGGGTCCGGAGCAGGCCAGCAATTGCGAAACAGTACTCCCCAACACGAGTAACTAACCACAGTTGCCCTCCGTTATGCATGGAGCAAGTGCCCAGAGGCTGTCGGATAGAGAAGGGTCTCGGCGTGGCGGTGATGTCGACAACTGCAAATCGTCCACCTGCCAGACACAGTAGTCGGACACTAGTGTAGGTGTCAAATGCTACGGGTTGTGGTCGCCCCAAGATGCAATTTTTTCGGCACCATAGCATTCGATGACCTGTGACACAAACAACCTTCGGCGAGAAAACTATCTAGACCCAGCCTCAACGAAGCTATGCTTCAGAGGCAGGAGAGAAGCAAGTGCGACGTGAGCAGTGAGCTGAGCCAAGTGCCAGTTTTCGAGCAGTAGAAAAGGAGGATTTCCAGGCATATACGGCAAGCAAAATGCACAGACACCAAGTGGAACCATGACCTCTTCTCGCCATCCGCTGCGAAGTGAGCCGATAGGAGCGAGAACCTTCGTTCTGCGTTCCTACACGGCGGGTGGTAGACAGTGGCAATGAAGGATGACCAGTTGATGTCCGACATTTCCAATTTTGTACAAAGAGGTGCAGATATCATGCTAGGAGAGCTCAATGTTTCACAGGTTTCACACGGGCCTTGCACGCACCTCTCACTTTTTGCCATTACGCAGCGCCTCACAGACTCAAGTGACATCCCCTTTTGGCACCTTTGAGTGCCGAAGGGTGTTGGATCTGCCTCCCCATGGGGAGGTGGTGCCCGGTTCACCCTTAGCTGCAGGCTTCTCTCGCAAGGAATTGCCGCCGTATTTGAATTCTGTCTGGCAGCATGTGACTGGCCTTGTATGCGCCACAGGTTGAACGGGTTGTGCTGCAAGTATGGTCTTTTCCACGGATTGCTGCTTAGATCTTCGCACATTCGATTGGCCTGATTACAACCACTGCTGGAGCATTGCGAGACACCTGACCTGCAAAGTGACCTTGTTTTGCCACACTGTGGTGTGGCCGCTGGTCACCAACACTTGGTAAGGAAAGTCCGTTTGAAGCCTCCTAGGCGGCTTTCCATGAACACAGCTTGCGCTGCAGTCCTTTTCTTTTGCGAATTCAGGCCCACTGATTGCCACTAGTCTCAGTTTCACACGTTTCACCTAGTGTAGAGGGAAGACTCAAGATGGTGGAGTTTCGGCCTGCGGGCTTGGGTGTTTGGTTTTGGGTTGGTTTTGGGGCCTTCGTTCCTTTCTCCACCATCTGTCTGTTCTTCCCTTCCTTCAACGATGACCTGGGCACCATGCCCACACGGCGTCCGTACTCGTGGAAAAAAAATCTGCATGCATGTCTGCATGCTCGTCCAACGATCTCGCAGAGCCTGGTCCCTCTCAATCTGGGATTGGGGCTGAGACTACAGTGCTTGGTCAACCTATCAATTCGATTTCCTGGAAAGTCTGGATTAGAGGTGACCCCAAAGTCAGAGGTCATTTGCCTACCTCAATCCTCTCGACCTGACGCAAACCCTACGTCATGCTAAAACTCCGAACAAACAAAAGCTGACGTAGGCGATGTCGTACTCTTGGACAAAAGTTTCGACTTGCCTGGCTCCAGAGCTGGCTTGGAAAGTACCTCACACCTGCATCCAGGCTTGTTTATCGACGACCAAGCTGCCGCACAGTGATCGTTGCAAAACCCGTTGCCTCATAAACAGGATGCCTGCTACGTGATGGTCCTCCTGCACTGAGAGCAGCCAAAGCTTTGAATTCATCGCCCCGTTTCACACCTGTGGTTGATCTCCGGATCTTCACATCCTCACTTCACGAGAAGATATGAGCCAGTGTTGGTTCGGGTTTTCCTGTTTGGGGGGTTGGTTTGTGGTCTGGCTGTTTTGGTTTTGGTGTTCTGGTTTGGGTCGTCTCGGCTTTTACGGCTCGTATCCTCTCATCTGTCTTCTCGAATTCATTTAAGGTGACTTGTGCCTTTCGGCACACACAGCGCCCTCACCCGTGCAAAAAAAATCTGCGCCTCTTTTTTTTTCAAAAGCGCCTGTCCTGGGCATTCTGCTGAAGCAGTAGCCCAAGCTACTGTCTTTGGTTTTGCTTTGATCATTGCATGATTACTTCAAATGTGTTGCGCTGCTTGAGCCCAAATATCGATTATTTTGTCAGTTTGATGGGATCCTTGGAACCGTTTCATTTATATCATCACTTTGTCATTTTGGACGATGTGAGCCATGTGGATAAGTTTGGCGTTCCCCTTCATGGCCTCGCTTCACCCATCATCAGCAACTATCCCCCTCTTCTTGGCTTGTTTGATGGCCTTATTTCAGAGGTCTGCAGCAATGAAAAAAGAACAGTTAACAATTCTTTTCCCAATGTGAGGACATCCCAGTTTACACGGGGATTTTGGACGGAAGGCGGACACGCTGTCCCGCAGCAAGGCGGAATGAACACCTTGCTCCAGCATTGACTTAATAGAACCTGTCAAGAGTCATGGATGAAGTTGCTCTCTGGTTGCCCAAAGCATATCAACTTCGCTTTGCTGCCACATTTGAACGTCAATGTCCTCTTTGTGGTTCCAGTTTGAGGCAACTCAACACAATATAAGTTTTTATTAACGCTGTCCCTGATGTGATGACGCAAGAAGACATGTTTCGCAGCAAGAGCACTTCCAAAGACAACATCAAGATACCAAAACGCAGCTTTCGCTTCAGACTTCCTCCGACTTTTGAACCACGAACCACATGTCCAAAGCTTGCGATTCACAGCATTTGCCACGAAATCAGGCCCGCCACCATGTCCAAAGTACTGCGCCCGCCACGGAATCTGAGCATCGAAGTAAAACCGTTCTACAGTCTCGACAGTGACTACCAAGTCCGAAAATGTGCACAGCACCACAACGAGAGCGCAGTCGAGGTAAGCGCCTAAGCGTGCGCAGTCGAAACGCACTTTGAAGCGCGAGTGTAATAGAAGCGAACTTGCTGCCGAGGGAGCACCTCAATCAGACACCCAGTGCTAACACATATTGTGAGTACCAGTGTGACCACATTGTCGGGGGAATTAGTGAGCATGTTGTTGACTTGTTCGATTCGGCCTTTGGTTTGGAAGTGGCCATTTCATTGACGTTGGTCATGCAATGATCGGTCTGAGAGTTGCATGTGGGGGCACTTTGGTAAAGACCGGCCCACCTTAAGGCTTTGCTTGGGATTCGGATGGATTGACATACAAAGGCTTGTGAGAAACTAACCAAAGTAAACCAAACATGTCAACACAGTGCTTGAACAATTTAATTCTTACATTCCCAACATGTGTTTTTCTGTGAAAAACACCAAAGCGTTCAGTTTGATGTATGCTGCGTGATTGGTGGGTGTGACCATCTATGGCAACGATACGCTGCATTTGGCTTATAGTCCGCCGGTTGGCGTTGTCTCTCCCGTTTTTTTGGTTGGGGCCAAGACCGCCTTTGGGAGGGCAACTCCTCGGCAGCAGGCAGGCGAAGTGTGGGCAGATCCCAGCCCGGCCGTGCCTTTTTCTTTGTGATGGTGTTTTGTTTTGCAATTGCAACATGACCACATCAGGTTGGCCAAGTCAAAACACATGTTTTGCAGGTGATGATGCTGCCTGGTGGAGGCCGGGAAATTTTCAGCTCTGGAAAGACGTGTTATACTGGGTGACCGAATGACATACTCGTAGATTCACCTATGTGGAGGCCGGATTGGGCCAGTTGGATCGGCTTGAGTTGCTGATCCGTCAGATAGATTTGTTGGAAGACCGGTTGAACCAGTTTTGTTTCTCTTTTCAAAACAAATGTTTCTTTTGTTTTTTGTTTCTTTTACATATTTGTTTCTATTGGAGATGCGGGATTGAGAGTCTGTTGTTTTCAAGCACCTAAACAATTTTTCTTGCAAACACAGCGCAGGCATGTTGTTCATCACCACTTTCATGCTCTTGGCTCCGCTGGTTGCTGCCGGAGTTGGGGAACCTACACAGAGGTGAGTTGGATGTTGGACTTGATAGGTGTGGTTTGGAGCAAAGATGAACCTTCACACCAACTTTTCCGGTCAGTGGGGAAATCTGAACACTTCACGATACTTCGTTAGCCGTAAAAGACTTGTTGGGATGCTCTGAAGACTGTTATCCCTTTGTGAATCAAGTAAATTACTTACAGTATATATTATTTGTTTGCCTCCATCGTTAGTGACAGTTGTTTTCACTGCCGATGACACTTTACTGTTAAAAAGGTTAGTGAGGTGTTTCTTTTGGTACTTGGACACAGTGCATTTTTAGAGTCTATTTTACAGTTGATAAAGTCCTCATATATGGAAAAACATCTCGACTCAAATCGAAGAGCATCAGACTGAAATCATCAACATCGAAGGATGCCTTGATCAGGACCTTATCCACAATGGAAAGGATAAACAGGGTCATTAGGAAACACACACACATATATATATATATATATACATGGCAGCCCCTTGGTTGGGACCTTTTCTACCTCATTGCGTTTGCAGACACCACACTCTGGCTAATAGTAAACTACCAACTCCAGCCGTGTTCTTCCGCTTTGCGAAAAGCATCGCTCCTCCAAACTTTGGGGAAAGTCTCTACAAATTGTCCTGGCTCGCGTGTTCTTTTTCGTCCCCAAAGAACACGGGCCGAGATCACTGATCTTCTCACCGAGGGATCACTGAGGGATCCGAGGGATGCACGCTGAGGTCAAGGGATTCGGCATCGTGTTCAGCGCCCGGGCGCCTGACGCGAGTGACGGCGGAGCCGGTTGTGACGGTGGGCGTCGGAGATGCCGGAGATGCGTGGTGGAGTGACGGGACAGGGACAGGGGGGACGTCCACAGTCCACAGGGAAGGGTGTCGGTCGTTTTGACGGTCATTTTGATAGGAGTACAGCATGAAAAAGGGAACCTTTTCTTCTTTTTTTGTGGTGACCTCTGGGTAGGAGTAGAATGAAATAGAAAAAGGACGATCTTGCTGAGTAGGAATTTGGAAGATCGTTTTCATCATATCGCTTGTGTGGAGCATAGCCCTACTCGCTGCGTGATGAACGAAAGAGACGCTGGTTGGCGTGTCCTTGTTTCGAAGCACCTCTGCAGGTTGAGCCAATGCAAGGCTCTACGGCAGGTGGCACTGAAATTCATGTCGCAGGTGCTGGCTTCGCCTATGTCACGCAGGCACTCTGGCATTGGCTCAACAGTCCTTTCGAAGAAAAAAACTCAAAGACAGGGCAGGTGGAGGTGCTTCGGAAAGAGTTCAAGCTATCCTTTTCTGGACCAGACCATGGTCGTTGCAGGGAAGACCCACAAAGAGACGTGCCGTGTTCAGACCATGGTTGTGTGCAGCATCAGAAGCCATCCGGCAGGTCCTTGTCGGTGGAAAGCCTTGCCACATCCTCGAGCAGATGACTAAGGTGGGTGGATTTAAGTCAACTGCACCGGCCGCACATCGCCAATACGCTTGGTAGGGGGGCCAGGCGGGTGGATGGAAGTTTCACAAGATGAAACTGCAAGGAGTGTTGTTTATATTTGTGATGTGCAGCGCAGCTTGTAAGGGATGCTGAATGATTCATGATGTGATGCTAATGCTAATGTGATATGATGTGATATGTATTGATTTGTGATGTGATGTGGTCAGGGTGATATGTGGTGTGTGATGAGGTCAGTTATGTGGTGTGATTCTGTGTGATACAATGACTTGACGTGTGGTGATGCGGTGCGTGATTTGTCACACGAAGAAGGGACTGTGGAAATTTGTGATGTGATGAAATGAGTGTAGGGATTTTTTGACGTGGTGTGTGGTGTTTGGTGAGGTTGTGAAGTGGTACTTGGAGCTTTTCTGTGGGTATTTGCAGGAATCCTTAGTTTCATCCATCGCGTTAAACAAATTTTATCATTGGTGCATACTTGCCTCTCAAAGTCTCTGCTTTTCCAAACTTTTGCCAATTCGCTTGAATTTCGTGATGCTTTCTCTCTTTAGATTTATATATATATATATTTTTTATATTGTTACTTTTCTCCATGTGTATATTTCTTCAAAAAAGTGGTGCCGTAGAACCCTGTCACTTGTGAGCCTGGAGTCTCTATGACTATGGATTTGAGACATGCCGCGCCTATTCTTAGCTGTTGGGACTAATGGCCTGGTCCCGAAAGGAAGACATCCTTTATTATGCATCCAGGGGATGAACTGCACCTCCGCTTCCATCTCAGGGAGATCAGAGTTGTTTGATTTTTGTTTTTGACAAACACTGGCCGCGACCGGTCGAATCGGATGGATGTTCTTGTGGTGGCCTGTTTTCAGAAAGACTGAGCAGGCCAAAGATTGTATGTAACATTTTTGCCACGCCTTAAGAACATTTAAGAACCTTGTCAGTAGACATGTGGACATGTGAAGACATGTAAGACATGGATTGAAACGTGACAAAATTGTAGCGGAGATTTACCTCCGACTGCCAACAGGATGGGGAGCTTACAGCTTTTACTCCGGCGTTGGATTCAGGCTGGAGAGAGACAAAGCTGCTGCCAGCTGGAGATAACGGAAATGACAAGCCTTTGACCGGAGTGAAGGGCCCTTCCAAAAATAATGCACGCTGAGGGTACCACCCAAAGCATTTGTTTACGCTGTTGGCCTTTGCAGTCGTCGCTATTCCCAACAGCCTTGGCCTTAGACCACTAAGTCAAGAGTGAGATGGAACTTTCAACACAGTGCTGAGCAGGGCCCTTGGATCCGTTGGATCAGCAATAACTGCCAAAAACGATCCCAAAAGGGCCAACCTGTCGCCGATCATCCAAGCACTCCGCCCCTGCTTGGAGCGCACTCGACCCCTGCTGAAAAAGCACTCGACCCGCTGTTGCAGGCTGGCATGAGGTCGAGGTGGTCTTCACATCAGGCAAGCATTCGTTTTTTCGGGTTTGCAGCGATCCGCACAGGTCCTGGTTGCGGGGGCGCTACAAACGAAATAAGGCCACGTCACAGGTGGAATCCAGTGGTCTGCCTGTCCTCGATCAGGGGAATCAGACCATGGTATTCTATACCTCAGCCTCAGCAGCAGCTCGATTGTCTTCGGTAGTCGCTGTTTGGATGTATGACTCATACAATCACTTGCAAAGCCCCAGACAATTCAGCATGGACTTGGACAACAATGGCTCTGAACATCGCCTCCGAAAAAAGTGTGAAAAACAGCCATTTCGAGTGGCGAGTTTGGATGGCAATTAGTTCACTGTGCTGAGTAAGGTCGTTCCCCCACCATGTCATCATCCGCGTCATCCGCTGTGTATAGGATCCCCCCACCATGTCCTCTTCCAATTCCTCCAGGCTGTTCCCGTTCTCCCCCCCCGTTCTCCTCCTCCGCTCGGATAAACCCGGCGCCTTCGACCGTCTTACCCGGCGAAGACTCGCCCCGTCCCGCACCATGCGCGTTTGTCTCGCTGGCGCGAGTCTCCTTCTGCCAAGTCGAGTCTGTACTGCCGATTGGCCAGGTCATCGGGCTCAGCTTCGAGATGGAAAGTTCAGGACCAATCATAGGCGGCTTCGACGAGAGGAACCGAAACGAGAGTCATGAGAGTCATGAGAAACGAGATGGGGCCAGATGGGGCAGATGTCACGCCTGGAGTTCTTTGGTCCCCGCCCCGAGGTTTAGGGGCACATGGGGGGCGATTTCAGGGTTGCGGAAAGGATGAGGGTGCTGCCTTGGAAGGGGAGGCCTGGGGTTCATAGTTGCGGTTGTATGGACTGAAGACATTGGTATTGGTGACTGGACACCACAGGTGGAGCCGCAGGTCCCGAATCCTTTTCGTGTTCTCGTACTTACGTAAGAGGTTTGTAGGACCTCTTGGCACGTCTCAACTTCTGTGCAAGATGACGGATGTGGCAACTATTGGCGTTCTTCTTGTGATTTCGTGGCGTCTTGCCTTGCCGCCAAGCCGAGAGCTTTGCGGCTGAACCGGAGCAAGTCTTTGTGTCAGGTTCACTCCAGTGGTCTCATCCATCTCGAGAGCTGCAGCTATTATCAGCAATGTTGGAACGCCTAGACTTGCTTCAGAGAATGGGAGGTGAGGTTCGTGTCCAGATGTTTTGTTTAAAGATGAACAATTTTCAAGGAACCGTTGTCCTGCTGTTTTTTTCAGCTCCCAAATGCAAGCACCGATGGGTGCTTGCATTGGCGAACCTTCACGTTCGACATATCTTAACACATATCCCAAAGGTGCCCCCGACATCCAATCCAAGACTCTCGAAGCTCCAAGTTTGCAGTGGGCTGCTGATTCTGGTTATCCAGGCAGTTTTGGACTGAAGATCTTCTTGGCTTGGCAGGCAGAGCTGAAGATGTTCTTCACAACCACTGCAGTCCTGAAGTTGACAGAATATAGGACGCTTCATCTTGAAAAGGAAGTCCCCTGAGTGCATCAAGGCATTGGACTAGATATTCCTCCATTTTGGGGCCATCTCCTCATATTCGCCCTTGCACATTCTGAGAAAATTGGTACATTGAGACCCCATGCATTTGGGGTCAATTACCTTGCAGGCTGTGCTGCTTGCTCCCATCCTCAACTCATTCTTGGTGTGGCAAGGGGTGTTTCCTTTCTTTTCCGAACACCCGCTGGAGTGCCTTTGAGTCTTGTCTTCACCGTGATCCGAACACCCTGATTGGGTCTCCACACAGGGTGCCCATGTGCCCCCCTCCTATCTTTCTCATCCGATTGACCCCATGCCGGTCCGTTCGCCCGGTACGCCCGGTCGACTCCGTTCGCTTCGACGTCCCGAGATCTCTTCCAGCGATCCAAGCCATAAGGGAACCCGGGTAGCTGGTCTGTGGTGAGGTCACCTGGCATGGAGACTTGAAGAAGATGCTGGAGTTGAATATGCGCGACATCTTTGAAGATACAGGTGAATTTCCATGTGTGGAAACCGTGCATGGTTTAACACCCACACGTTGGGTGTTGTGGTGTGGTTTGTGAAGATGGACCGTTGCTGGGGGCTTGGCAGAGTGAGCATTCAGCATTCATGAAGCTCAGCTTCCTTCAAAGGGTTTGGACTTTGGACGACTGGGCTTGGCTGGAGTTGATATTGATCCGCAAAATACAAGCCTCGCTGGGTCCAGATGGTGATCATCCAACATGCTTTCCACCTCGGTGGCCCGCTGGTTCCTTGGTCCAGTTCCGAACGACCAAAAAGCGACATGGCCAGTGCACCACTAAACCTCTTCATTTCGTTCATGCCAAACACTTGCTGTTCTCCCAATTGCGTTCACAAGCTCTTGGAATCGTTGACAATTCTAATTGGACTTTTTGGAAACATGGCCAAGCATGTAGTCATTAGCCTTGGTTCTTTAGCAGCTTTTTGAGGTCGAAAAGCAAGAACTAGGTTTTTTGATTGAACTCCATTTATTGCTTCTTCTTGCTAAATTGTGTTTGTTGGGTTCCTCTTTGGTATTCCTTTGTTCTTTGTCATCTCTTGTTCTCTTGGCCAGGTGAGAAACGCAATGCCACCGAGATTATGCACGCCTACTTGGGCACAGGAGAGGAAATCCTGGCAGACAAAGGCTCGACATGCTCGACAGACCAAGAGCTGTTGAGACTGGCAGCGGATAGGGTGAGACTGGCAGCGGATATGGCCATGACTCCTTTGATTTACCATGACTCTAACAGACTCATGCACTGCCAAGAGTCCAACCAGCAGCAAAGCTATTGAACCGGCAAGATTCAGTCGGTTGTTAGTATATAAATCTGCGACTGTAGGGGGCAGAACTTAACTATCCATTGGCAACCTCCTTTTCCTTTCCTTTTCTGAGGCCAAAAGCCACATCTCACCTCCCCGTTCCACCACATCTCACCTCCGCCTGCCAGCTGGGCGCGATGAGTACCGCTGCGACATCCTGGAGACGAAGACGGTGAACGATGGGGTCCGGGAAGCCCCGATTGCGCTCTCCGTTTCGGTCGGTCCGGTTGGGTCCGGTCGGTCTACACGTAGAGATCAGACAGTTGAGTTGTTGTTCAGCACTCCTCAATGAAGTAATGATCGATCCACTCGAGAAGAAAAGGATCCTGAAATCATCGGCCCAAAAGGGAACACCCATGCTTTCACGCTTGCCGTGCCAAGCGTACTTTGTGTTGGGATTTTGAAGAAGACCATATTTTTGATGCTCTCCTGTGTAAAGGTTGTAGCTGTTGGTCTATCGTCACAGAGAAAGAACCGGGCCCATACTGGGCCCATACCAACACCTTGCTACATGCTGGTATGTGTAACACACAACAGCATGACCATGGTGCTGCAAACTTGCAGGTGTGTGAAGTGTCCGCTGGAACCCCGGCAGGCAACGGAGAACATGAGAGAGCGAGAGAGAGAGAGAGAGAGAGAGAAGGGCGGGGAGCGAGGGAGCGAGTGAGCGAGGGAGCCAGAGGGAGCCAGAGGGAGAAGGAGCGGAAGCAGAGCAGGTGATATATCCAAGAGATCCTGCCTAACGTAGCTTTCAGTGTGTGTCATCACGCTGTTCGGCCACATGTGGAATGGATCTTGTTCCAACGTCCGTCCCCTCCACCGGCACACGAGACGCTGGGACGCCACGTGACAGCTGAGCAGCTGGTGCAGGCTACTACAACTTCACGTACGTCTTGGAAAACGGGGTCAGCATGAATGGCTATGGCAAATCCGCCTGGGAGGTTGGCACTGAGAGGGGAGACACCCTTGGAACTGTCTGCCAAACGGTTCAGCTTGATCCATGTTCCGCATGTGTGATTTCGAGAGTCAAGATGCGTACTGTAACTGGAGCCACTTGCGGAATCCAGCCATGGTGGCCCAGCTTTAGCCAGGTCCACCATAGTTTACTCCAAAATGCTTCCTTCTCTATCTTTCTAACCCTTTTCAGGACTCCTGAAGCGGCCAAACTCGGGTCTTTCACCAGGTGCAGGGACTGCCCTCTGTCACGCTGGAGGGGCGGGAATATGCCATTGAGGCGCGGTGAAAAAACCAATCGGAGGCCGATGGAAACACTTGCTTCGGCCGCAGACCACCTTGTGGAATGAGGCTTTGCGATGCCGAGACATTTCAACCGAGCATTGCATCGACCGAGCCATGACTTTGATCGTCCGAGGCATCAAATCGCGGAAAAATCCCACTGTTTCAGATTGGTGAATTCGATCAGACTCTGCCGGCTCCGTTGTGTGAAAGCGACCGTCTGGGAATGCCGGTACGATTGCTTCTCCACACGTCATTCGTGGCCACTTTCAACTCAAGTTGTAGGTTGATCGTATTTGGCACAAATGTCGGCAACAGAAACGGAAGCGAGCTAGACGTTTTCGTTCAAACAAGGAGTCGGCTCCAGACTTTGTGCAGCCTGCTTCAAGCACCCATCACCCACCCCAGCCACCTGCCCACCCTCAACCAACAGCTTTCTGCTGTGGACCTGGACCGTTCAGCCTCCGAGACCGGTTCTTCCCCGAAAACGCCATGGCGGCCGCGAAGCCGACCATCAATGCGCACATCCCGAAGACGGAGATTCTCGCCAAGTGGCCTGGCGACGGGGTCGATTCTTGATCCATGGGCTTTGGAGGCCGTGGCGGCCGTGGAGGGGTCGATGTGAAAACGAAATGCCCCCGGAAGGGGTGAAAGAGAGGAGAATTTGGACTCAGAAGCCAGAAGTTGTTGGTGTTCTGTATTTTTGTGTGTGGGGGGTGATCTTTCTGAGACCAGGAGGATAGAGATGTAAGAAGGACATTTTGTCAATGTGCTGTTGTCTTCTAGTGCTCGTGATTTGCTCCTAGTGTTGTGTAAAGAAGTAGGCCAGAGGCATCCCTTGCCTGGCATCCCTTCCCTTGTTTGTCAATCGAACTCTGAAGCTAGCCCTTGTGTGGAACTTTCTGCTAAGAGGGAACCATGTGTTCCTTTTTTTTTCATAAGCTGAACGCTGCTATGAGGTTGTCTTATGTTGTCTTGTAGTCTTGAAGCCCAAGGCACAAGGTGATCCGCTTCGGGACCACGCGAAAGGCACCGACCGACGATGAGGCGGGGTTTTTTCGCCCTCGCCCTGAAGACATGACGATTTACGTCGACGACGTGGCGATTTCGCGTCGAACGACGTTCTTCTTCTCCATCTTCTTTGCAAAAGCGTGGGGTTTGCTCTGTGTGTCATGACACAAAACATAGAGGAGCCGTTTTTTCCAGAGTGTGTACCATTTTCGTTCCGAAGGCAAGGCACAATGCCAGCGGCCTTGGGCGCGCGCGAGCGCGAAAGCCGCGAACGCGAACGCGAACGCGACGCGAACGCGACGCGAACGCGAACGCGTGCAAACGGCGAGGCGAAGCTCTACAGCTACTTGCATCAGAGAGCCGACCTCAAGGCGGAGAGGGAACGAACGAGTCGCGTGGTGTGGAGTGGAGGTGGTGGTTGGACACCACGTCGCGGGTCGCGGAGGACACCGATGTCGTTTGGTTTTGTTTCCGCTGCATCCATCCGACCAAGGGATTTGGGAGCTTGAAAGAGAGATTTGGGATCGACCGAGACGAAAGGATGCCTTGCAGGAAGCGGCCGCTACTCGATGGTTCGTTTTTTTGGGAGGAGTCCATCCCTCTTCTGAAGCTCTGTGAAATTTGCAGGTGCGCGCACTTTGCAGGCAAACTTTGCTGCAGATTCCATCGTCGCGAGTTTCAAAGGTGAAGAGAACTGGGAGAAAACCAGCACATCAAGATATCCCGACCAAGGACTTGCTTAAGGACTTGCTGTAGACCCTTTGAAGAAGTGGAAAAAAAACAGGAATTGAGAATATAGGACTACCGGGAAGCATCAAGCTCAGATGTTGCATCTCCCCTATTTTGGTCAAGCTATCCTGCACGTCGATTTTTTGCCCAGGGTAGAGGTACAGTTCCGTTGAACCCTTACAGATCTTGACAGACTGACCGGTGTCACAAAGTTGGAATTTTCTCATATTTTCTGCATGCACAAAAAGTTGCTGAACTGGGATAGTTTTTCTGCTCCGTCATTCCACAATCCTTTTCAACGTTTTGAGACAACACCCACCAACCTTGCCAGGTTTCGCGTGGTAGCATCCCAGTGGGCTTCTACTCCTGCATGAAGCTTGCCTTTCCAAAGCAGCGCACGGGTGTAGTTGTGTGTAGGTGCGAAAGCACTCACAGTGCACCCGCCTGATCATGGAATCCCAACCAAGCGCACTACTTTGATGACAGGATGACCAGGCTATGAAACATGGCTGCACAACCACTTCACTCTGTCATTTGGAACTGGAAGAAGCAAGAAGTCAGCCAAGCACCCCCAGCGACCGAGTTGGATACGGCTTTGAACTGATGAATCCATGGGCCATCCATCACCCCATTGATCCGCCACCCAGACGATCCACAGGATGGACCCATCCACGCGTGCCACCCACCGCAGTGCCCAGCAGAGGTTTTTGGACGAGGGCCAACCTCTCTATTTAGAGACCCGCTTTGGTGGCTACAACTTCGAGGAAGCTTGGCTTGTGAGACTCCGCGCTCCATCAAGAGCGCATGGTATAGCATGGCACGCTCTGCGTCGCCCCAAATGGATAGCACCACGGCGACCTGGTCTCGCCCTTTAGAATCCGGAGTGACTCGTGTTGCTCAGAGGTGACTTGCTAGGAATGTTTCGCGTGGCTTGGACGGGTTTGTTTTGGACCAAGGAAGATGGAAAGCCAGTGGGGCCCCAATTCCAGATCAGCTGGAAGGCAGACAAGGAGGCCGTGTGAGGAAACATGCTGTGTGCAAAAGAGTTTGGGAATGCAAAGCTGGCTTTTTGAAGTTGTCTTGTGTACAGAATATGGAGGAGCGGTCAGAGTACTGCCATGCACTGCATTGGGCCGTGCACTGCGGGGCAGGTGATACCACCACTGGACAGCATGAGCGATGGCTGGTACAAGGAGATGATGTTTGCCGAGTTAAACCCGCCAATTGCATTCTCAGCCCTGTGATCTTCAGGTTCTTGTTTTGTGTGACTTGGATGGTCACGTTGACCTACTTTGAGAAAGAGTGAACCCGGAAATCTGTGATGAGATGGTCTGGTGTGGGGTGCCGCACTCGAGACCAGTCTCTCTGAGACCTGTCCGGCTGGGCCGATGCTTTGGAGCCACAAGCTGCGAATGAGCGAGCCCCTGGTAGTCGGCAGGCTCTGACACTTAGAGAGGTGTCTCAGATTTAGGAGACGAAGTGAGCAGGTTTTGGAAATCTTTTGATATACCTTGCCATCAAGATGGGCCACCAGGTCTTTGCCCTCCATTCTTCACGAGTAGCCCGGCCCGTTGTCTGATCGAGATCCTCCTTTCCGAAGCTGCGATGAACTCGTCGCAGGATTTAGATGACCTTTGGACCTTGGTGCTGTCCTACTTCGAGAAGCGTGCGATCTTGAGCGAGGAGCAGGGACCGGTGGGACCTGTTGGACCAGTGGGACCTAGCTAGCGGGGGTTCAGAAGGCCCATGTCACATGGGACTTCACATGATTTGGAGGAAGTCCTGGAGAGAAATGACAGTCAAGTTTTCTTTTAGCTGCTCCTGTTGGTGCCATTTTTCCGACTCAAACATCCATGGCCTCACATGAGTCATAGGGTAGGCTCCGTGGAGCCCAGGAGACTCTGGAGTACTTGGACGCCGATCCCTTTGTCCTCTTTGGAATTGATGATCCGCTCACACAGCAGGAGTGGAGCGGAGCCCCGTTGCGTTGGGAGTGGACCAGGGCCCTGAAACCCCCGGGCTCGCTGGGTTCGGGTGAGTTCGAAGGCTTGATGGCCGATGTCTATGTGAAAAACAATGACTGGTAAATGCAACGCTTTGTTGAGACATGATGCAGACTGTGAGGCGGTTGCTGTGAAGTTTCTAGCGTGAAGGTTTTTGTGGAAAGGTTGCTGTATGTCAAGACTCGGAGGCAAGAGAACAGTTGAGACCCGAAAACAAGAGATCTATAGCAATGGTCTTTTCGGGTTGTTTGTTTCGATCAATCAATAGCCATGTATCTTCATGTTTTTGTGACATACCAAGTAACATTGGTTTCGGCTGCTTTCGGAATCCTCCTCCACGCCGGTCCACTTTCAAGAAAGACATCTATGAGAAACCCACTTCGGTGCACATGGTGAGGCGCTGGTGAAGTTGGACAAGTTTCCTGCGCTGATGTGCGACAATGTTCCTACCCTGGAGGCACAGGTGGTGTAGCTTTTTGAGAGCCTGGAAAGAAGATGGGGAGAAGATGGTTCTAGCTAAGCATCCTGTGGCCAGCAGACCAGCAACCAAAAGCTTCAAGCTGCATGAAGGAACTGACTCAAAGTGGTCCGTGATCCTGAAGTTGACGTTGTGTCTCGTGGCCAAACCCCACTGGTGCTTTTGTCGAGAGGAATGGGCGTACTACCTCCGCATTGAGCCCAAAGATGAAAAGATGCTTTGGCTGGTGCGTGCGATGATGGAGACTGAGCTTCCAAAACCTTGGACTTGCTACAAGGCGAGACCTGCTACCAGGCTTAGCAGATAAGATAAGACAGAGACCAGAATGTGAGTACAGCAAGATGTGTCGGACTAGGGAGAACCCCTGGTGACCACCCGGATGAATGGACTAAAGATGACAAAAGATGACTATATAGAGCGTAAAACACCACTGATTGTAGGTCTCCCTATCTGCTACTACACCCCCAATAAATGATTGGGTTTTGGACTGGTGGAACCAGAAGGTTTGACAGCTTGTTCAAGAGTCGTACTCCAGCTAGATTGAGACAGAGTTGAATTTATTGCACTGCGGTTTGATCGTCGATTTTGCCATAGAAACACTTGATTCAGATTGTTTTGTTCAACCGTATGACCAACAGTCCTTTCTTGCAGCCCTGTCAGCATGTCTGGGCTGGACTCGGACTGGGTAGAGGTGAGGTATGGTGACGTATTTGGACGACCATGACTCCATGATCCCTCGCATGAAGTACAAGGCGATGTTCGCTCTTGAAGAGACAC